AGTCCTGTTTCTAATAAGAGTAAAGGATTCTGGGCAGTAAGAAGGAAGCTACATCGGATTGGAGAGCTTACCCATGTTTGCTGTTCTGCCCTTGTGTGATGTTGTCTTTGCTAAGCAATGAAGAAAATGCTGAGTTCGGTAAAAATTTATGCATGTGCTACGGACCGATGCAGCAATTTGTTGTGTTTGTTGCTCAGAAAGTTAGTCTGGGTCTCATGAGAGACAGTCAACCCAAAGATTGGGTGGTAACACTCATGAAGCGTGCTCGTGTATTACAGGAATGTGCAGTTGATATATCCAGATGTGTAGAAGTACCCATAAACTAACTTATACTATATAGCAACGCTTGAGGGCCTTTAGTTTGGCTGAACAAAGTGAACATGCGTTGCTTTGATGTCTTCGTGATGCTTTTCCTCCTGCAGCCAGAACAAATAAGGCGAGTGACATGATTACCACATAGTGAAAGCGTACGGAATACAGGACAGGACACCAAAACGTATGAGAGACAGTTTTGCTTTTACGTTTGCAGGGAGAGAGAAAATTTCAGCTGCATGATATATGAGGAAGTAACATTTTTGCAGTTGCTAAGTACCAGCGCATATGACAAATATACACTCTCAGGGAAACGACTTACTGAGATTCGTTACTGTGCTGTTCTTTAGAGTATTATTCTTCTAACGAAACTGGCACGGAACTTTCGAGCACCCCCACCTGCTGTCTCTGTTGCGGTCGGCTTCCGTGTACAAGTTGCTGCTGCTGCTGCTGTCCCCGCTCCCCTTGGTGCTGCCATTGCTGCTGCTACCGCAGTTCAAACAGCTGCTAAAACCTGCGTTGCGGTGTAGCGACGCAGCAGAAGCCCCAGCAGTGGTTAGCATTTGAGGGCGCTGCCGGCAGCAGTGCCAGCTGCTGCGTGCTACTGCTGCTGCTGCAGCTGCAGGGACCTCTTCTGCCTCGCATTAGCAACTCGGGCCCCTATCTTCTGCTGCGGAGCATCAGAAACCACCCCCCCCCAAAGAAGGGCAGCCCAGCCGAGGGCTTGTGTGCAAATTAAATTGAGTCGGCTTTGTTTTCCTTCCCCTCTGGGAGCCCCTGCGTTGCACAGAGTTAGCTATGCTTCTGGAAGAGCCTGCGAGGGATGGGGAGGGGCCGCGGGCCCACCGCAGCCACGAGGGGTGCCACCCTAGGGGCCACCCTGTGGGGATCCCAGGGGGGCCCCGCAGGGTATCCCTGGGGAAAGGCCCCGGGGGGACCTCTCCCCAAGACACTGCGGCTTGTGCAGCCGACGCGCTTTGCTGCTGCACGTAGGAGGCCCAAATAGCTAGCCAGCATGCCTAAGGCAGTTGTTCTGAGCCACAAAGCCCGCACAGCTGCACAACGTGAAAGGTCATGTCGCGAGAGCGCAAGATCACGCGCGAAGCTGCAGGAGCAGCAGCAGCAGCAGCGGCAACAGTAGTAGTAGTAACAGCAGCAGTAGCAGGCAGCACAAACAATACGCGAAACAGATGTGACACGCTAGACCGTAGAACACGACCATCGCGAAATACCAACAGGAACGCCGCCCGTCGCAAAAGCAGCAGCAGCAGCAGTAGCAGCAGCAGCACGGACGCTGCCATAGCAGTGACAGGCACTAAAGCAATAGCAGCAGCAGGAGCTCCACCAGAAGCAGATGCAAGGCAACAGCAGCGAGAACAGCAGCAGCTCGCGTGACTGCTGCTTCAGTCCCGCACCCATCGCAGGACTATCAGCAGCAGCAGGGAATGGCTCATAGAGTTTATGACGGTGGTGTTGATTTGCATCTCGTGGACGAGAGCAACAGCACAGGGGACAGCCCGAGCTGCGAAAATTACTGCAGGAAGGCGGGTGGTGTGTGCTTCTCCACTTCGCTTCTTGCTGCTGCTCCGGGGGAAAGGAACAGCAGCACAGCAGCAGAAGGAGCGGTAACAACCAGCACTTTGATCGAGCCAGCGGGCTTTATCTGCGGCAGGGACGCCACAAACAGCAGCAAACATAACCTGGTGGCGAGTTCCCACAGCAACAGCTCGTTGCCCAGAACCCTAGAACCCTAAACACTAAACCATAAAACCGCAATGCTTTAATTCTTTTCCATTTTATTTTTTGTTTTTGCAGGCAGCTCTTACAGTACAATTTCCCCGCAATTATCGAGTCGATAGCTCACTTTGGCGTCTGAGCACGAATTAACATGAAAATGGAACACTTAACATTGAACAAAGAATCATTATTATTATTAACAGTAATAATAATAGTAACGATAGTAATAATGATAATAATGGGAATAGCCTTGAGGTTCGGCCTGCTTGCGGTGGCCTGAAACGTGCAGATGTTCCCACTGCTTTCCGCTGAGGGTGGAGGCGAGAAGGGTTTAGCGTTTAGCGTTTAGGGGTTGAAGACTTCTTTTTTCATTTCTCGTTGACTCCTTTTATTGTGAGTGCATCCCTGCATTCCCCCATTCTGGACATATATGTATACATATATACATATACATATATAATACTATATATGCTTTCATATGTTTAAGATGATGAATGTGCATGCCATCCTTTGCGAAACACTAGACCCTAGACCCTAAAGCCTTAATTC